CACACACCTGAGAATAAAAACTTGGGAAACAATATTTCAACACATATCCTGAATGCACAAAGAGCTGCTATAAATAAGAACATGACAACTAATGGAAAGGTGTGCAAAATAATCAATACATATCAAATCAGTCAATCCACAGAAAAATAAATGTAAGCGGCCTAAAACATAAAAAGGCACCTTCCGAGACAGACAGGGAAATGGAAGTTAACACAATGAGAGGCCACTTTTCATCTCTCAGGTGAATGTGAAAAGTAAAGTTAGTGCTACCCAAGGGTATGGCGAAGCAGGCACTTTCATATAGTGCTAGTAGGAGTGGGGTGAAGCAACTTGGCAATTTCTGTTATAACTTGTATTTGCACATCCTTTAGACCCACCAGCGATTCCACTACCAAAAACCAAAAAATAATAACAGCCCAATTTCACATGTAATTGTATTATTGGAAGCACATGAATGTCCACTGATAGCATAACCATGGTCTTCTATGAAAACTGTAAAAACATTTAGTTAGATCTATATACATACTGATTATAAAAATAACCGTGGCATGTTGACATAAACACAGCATTTTTCTTGTAGGACAACACTTTTGATACTATAGTTTTACAGTATGTTTTGAAATTGAAAGTGTAATTCCTCTAACTGAAATCCTATAAAGTGTCTTCTTTCATCACAATGGCATGATACTAGAAATAACAGAAGGAAAACAGGTTTCTGGTCTTAAGCTTTGTGAAAATGTTTCCTTGATAATTTGCTTTACTCTTATTTGTTCTGTCTCTATTATAGAATGCTTATTAGTCAGATGATGGACCTCCCGATTTATTACTCTATGCTTTTTCCTTTAAAAAACCTTTTTATTTGCTTTCCTATACTATATGGAGTTTTTCAGAATTTTCTTCCAATCCAGTCAAGTTTTTAATTTTACTAATCATATTTTTAATTTTCAAGCGCTTTGTTTGGAAAGCTTGCTTCTTTGTGTTTATGGATGTAATTATTTTTGACGCATCCCTTGTCAAATGATAAACTTATCTTGTTCGTTTATTTTGGGTTGTTTTGTGTTCGCTGAATTCTGTTTCCTCGGGTCATTTCTGTTTATTTTGGCCTTTGTCTTTCATGTTGCATTATTTTTTCAACTCTGGGGATCCTTGGTTAGCCCTTCACAGCTCAGACTAAGACAGTAGAAAGCTATATAAAACTCTGTGTTGTTGGGAAAGTTTGTTAACTGATAGGCTTCACTTTAGGGTGTTGAGCTGGGAACCAGCAAGTGTGATGGTGGGTTTCTAGGGGCCAGAGTGTAGGATTCTTTTCTTTCGGATCATTTTGTTTCTTTAGAGAAGACCCTCTAGCTTTTGGCCTGGGGTGTTGATGCCTAGTTGTCAGGCTTTCTTCTTGCCAAGATAGGAATGGTTAGTCTTCTGTATACAGACTTCCAATAAGTCCTTTTTTGTTACCAGTCCCACATCTCACTACATACAGTATTAGGCCATATCTAGATTTCTGTATCCAGAGCGCTTTCAGAGTCTTCCTCCTTGGTTCCGTCCCCTGGTTCCTTTTTTGGTTTTTCAACAGTGATGCAACTATTGAGCAGGTGCAATTATATTCTTACCTGGTCCCACGTATAACCAGTGGACTAAATGTAAGAGATTTACCAGCACCGACAACAAGACTGGTAGTGGGGCTAAGGACAGATAACAAGTCCTTTTTAAGGCTGGATCGGGATTTCCTGCCCTGGGCTGACCAGTTTAATCTGAAAAGAATTTGCAACATGAAAATATTTTAGGATTCCAGCCATCTGGATACACACTTAAAAGTAGTTGTTATTGTTGCTGGCCGAGTGGCTCAGTTGGTTAAGAGCTCACTCAAGAGTGTGAGCTCTGAGCAACAGGGTTACCAGTTTGATTCCCGGTCTGAGCTGAGCTCTGCTGATCTGCCAACAGGTGGCAGGATGGCTCAGTTAAAAAAAAAAAAAGTAGTTGTGTTATCATTATTTTAGGCCAAAAAGAGTTACCCAAGAACGCCAAATGTTGTGTTGTTTAAATGCCATAGCTATTTAGTTTAAAGCTTTTATTTCAACACCACCTCTCTTCGCCACAGTAGAGTTCTGGCAGTGAATTCAGTGGTCCAGGATTTGATGAAACTGTGGCTAATTTCTGGTTCCAATCTGGAATTGAAACAAATTAAGGATCTCAAAGATGTGGAGGAAAAGGACTTAGTCAAAAAGTTATTTCTGTCGTTCAATCCCTGATGAAGAGGCATATTACTGAATTCTGCCAAAATGTAAATAAAATGAAATCACATAAATTTTCATTTTAACATTTTAATTCTAGACTCCCCCCAAGCCCTGTAACCTTTACATTATAAATGGGCCACTTTGTATCATCTTTACATCAAACTGCAGTTGTTACCATTCCTAAATTTATACCCACTGGAGTTCCATCATATCTTATAAACTCTTGTCTATAATCTATAACAGTTCTGCTTATCTAAAGATACGGGTTCAAGGAGGGCTTGCATCTACGTTTAATGAACCAAAGACCAGAGTGTTTCAACAACAGCATTGTAACAAAATTTTGTTATGTACGTTGCTGTGTTCTATATTAGGTGTTTCGCTTACATTAACTCTAATATTCATAATAACCCTCAGAGGCCCACTGGTGTTATCACCACTCAAAGAGATTAATTAACTTGACCAAGTTTGCAGGACTTGTGAAAGGAGGAGCCCACATTTGACCCACGATGACCAGGCCCCAAAGTCCCTAATCTTTTCACAGTTCTATTCCATCTTCCATAGCACTTCAATAGCTTTTAAAGAAGTAAACATTTCTTGCTATTAAGAATGGATAACATTTTATTAACCCATTTCATTAACCCTAGAAATGCCATCCCTGGAGGATTTTTAACATCTAATTTAATTAAATGTGATCCTGTGTGTAGTCAGTAAGCATGTGACTTCTCAAGGCTTATTATTATGAAGTTAAGTAGCAACTCTGACCATCTCCAGGATTACGCTGTGTTCCAGGGAAATACATTAATTTAAAAGTTTGAGGAATCCTACTCCACAGCCTTAGTGATCCTTGTTGTAGGAGTGACAATGGAGCTGAATTATACACACATTTAACCAGGTAAATGTAACAATAAATGTTCTGAGAACACAAGACGAGCGAGCTTTTGGGGCGGGGGTTCCTTCTGTCGTTCCATTTAGCAAGTATATGTGCCCACAGACAGTGCATGCTATCAAGCCTGAAATATGCTACACAGAACAGAATGTGTGAAATGATTTTTTTTTTTTAATTTCCTTACCATTTAGCAAAGTAAAATGTGCAGGCTCTGGTCTGCCACCACCTGTGACCAGTTGGGGGCTACCTGGTAGGAGCTAGAAGGTGATCTGCAGTTGTTCACTGCCTGTGCTGGTCCTGGAAGCACATGGGAGAGGCCACACTGGGAACTGAGGATGGCTGCCACCAGTACCAGGTCTGGGGTAGCCCTGCAAAAAGCCAGGGCACCTCGAGGCCTGCTGCCACATACCTCTGATAATGCCTCATTCAGTATGTGAGTTGGGTGAGGCAGGGTCTCAGGGAGTCACTAGAGTGGGAAGAACTGTGGTCACCAGGTTAATGTAAATTCTAGTTTGGTGCGAGTGCTGAGCCTGGAGCAACTCAGCAAAAGTTTCAGAGCATACTGAGGCTAGTCGCTGCTTGCCTGGGCCTACCAGACTGATAGTTTTTTGAGAAAGGGGGCAATGCAGGTGGGGCTGGCTGCTCTCAGAGAAAGTGCCTCCTGCTGTGCACGAGTCGGGTGGGGCGGGGTCCCAGTGAGTCAGCAGGGCAGAAGAGCAGAGCTGCTCAGATTCAGATTTGGCCGGAGCGGGTGGGCTCAACACAGGAAAGATGGTGCCTGCCTGTCAGCTGCACAGGAGAAGGACCTCACACAGGGCCTCCAGTCCTCCCCCCTCGCCACACACCTCAGTCTGCCCCTCTGTATGTCTCTGACACCTCCTGAGTGACCATCCCTGCGCTGGAACCCAAGGTGAGTGCCTGTGAGCGAATGAGTATGTGCGTGGGCCTTTTAAGAGGACGGCTGGGTTTCCTGCAGCCTCCCGGCCCACCTGGATGGTGGGATCCCCACTGTTTTGCACAGCCAGATGTTGTGGGGCTCCTCTTCTTGGCACCAGTACTCTGGTCTGGGGAGTATGGTGTGGGGGGCTGAGTCCCTGGATCCTTCAGGGGAAACCAAGGCGGCTGAGATATTCCTCCTGATTCTCAACTGCCACACGCAGGTGTGGGGCCTGTTGCGTGTCTGTCCCTCCTACCAGTCTCGACGTGGCTTCTTTATATTTCTAGTAATAGGACTTTTGTTTGGCTAGAATTCAGATGGTTCTCCAGGTTGATTGTTCTCTAATTTAGTTGTAATTTTAATGTGTTCACAGAAGGACACAGGCACAGTCTTTGCTATCTTGGATCTCTCAATGAGTCAACTTCTTGATTTAAACAAATGCTCAATTCAGTCCCTGTTCTTTTCTCTGTCCATGTCTAGATTTGTAACTTTTCTCTGTTAGGTCTCTTGCAGATTGCTGTTTACGCAATAAATGCCACCTAAGTATCTCTCAAATCCACCTAATTCTCTTTATTGCTACCACCCATCATCAGTTGCCTAAACCACTGATTTCTAAACTTGGCTGTATAAGGGAATTGTCCGGGGAGTTTTAAAAGTTACTTATGCCTGGGGCCCTCTTCCCCTCACCAGGAAATTCTGATTTAATCGGGATTGGGTGTGTCCGGGGCATGGATTTTTTTAAAGTGGTGTAGCTGAGGTTAAGAACCTTGAACCTAACCACTGCAGTTGCCTCCTAACCCTCCCCATTCAGTCTTTGCCCCACTCCACCCTGCCCTTTCCTTCTCCACAGTTAGAGTAAGCTTTTCAAAATGCAGTTTCAATCATGTTGCCTCCACCCTCCTTCAAACCTTTCAGTAGTTTTCCATTAATCTCAGAGTGGAGGCCCAAACCTGAAAATGGCCTGTAAAACCCTTCCCTTCTGATCTTGTCAGCTCTCCAGCCACGCCCTGCTCTGTCCTTGTTGATTTCTGTGCTCCAGCACTGCTATTTTTTTTTAGTTCCTCTCAAGCTGTCAGTGCTCCTCTCTCAGGCCTTTTGCAGGCCTTTTGTATGGGCTGTGCTCTCCTGGAAGCTCTTCTCCTGGGTTTTCTTAGGAAACCTCTGACCTATACTATACGCTTCTATAGCATCCGATGGACTCTGCCTCATAGCATTTACGGCAGGTGAAAATTTAGGCTTATTTCTACGCCGGTTCCCCACTGAAGTTTCTTGAATGTAGAAATTTAGGGTCTATTATTGCTTCACCTTGTATTGCCCAAACCTTGCACGCTGACTGGCATATGTAAGCAGGCTTTCATTATGTACTGAAGGAAATATTTCATTATGTATTGAAGGAAATATTTCATTATTTACTGAAGGAAATACATATGAATGAATGAAAATGCATCTGACATCAGATCTATCGCCAAGTCTAACTGATGTCACCTCCAAAATATCTGTGGAATCCATTTATTCCTTTTTATCTTCCCTGTGGGTCCAAGCCCCCGTTATCTCTGGTCTAAACGACTATAGAGCTTCCTCACAGGTCTGGATGCCCTCCCTCCTGTTTTCCAAACTGAACAGCAACCAGAGTGATACTTTGAAAGTACAAACGATATGTCATTCCTCTGCTCAAAATTCTTCCAAGGCTTCTACTTGTTTTTATAATACAATCCGAGCATCTTCCCCCTCCTTCTGTCACTGATGGCCCACCTAACTACGCTGGCCTTTTTCCTGTTCCTCAAACATCACAAGCCCTTTCCAGCTTTCAAGCTCTTGCACTTGCTGTACCTTTTGCTTGAAATGCTCTTTCCAGCATTCATTCTTATTTTCCAGAGTTCAGCTAAAACGGTATAGAGGTTGCCACTATCAAAAGTAACCCCCCTTAGCGACACTCATCACCCCACTTATTTCCCATATAGCACCACCACAAAATTTTTTAAAAATGTACTTAGTTTTGCTCAGCATCCCCCACCAGAATCTCAGCTGCAGAATGGCAGGTATCTTGTCTATCCCGGTCCCTGTACCCCAGCAAACATCGCAGTGTGTAGTTCATAATGGGTGCTCAATCAATGACTGAATCATCTTAGGGCTGCCAGTTTCCAAGATGGACCTCAGTGATTCTCACGTGCTGGTATCCATACCTTGTGGAATCCCCTGCCACACTGTTTCAGGGCTGTGTGTGACCTCAGAAGTGACAGTGTGTGACTTTGGAGCCTAGGTCATAAAAAGCATTGCAATTTCCACCTTCATTTTGGATCGCTCATTCCAAGGGAAGCTAACTGCCATGTCATCAGGACACTCGGCAGCCCCAAGTGCAGGCCCATCTGAAAAGACACTGAGGCCCCCAGTGACCAGTCAGCAGGTGAGTGACAACCATGTGAGTTGTCATGCTTGACAACTATGTGAATGAGCCACCTTGGAGGTGGACCCTTCAGCCCCACTCAAGCCTTCAGATAATACAGCCTTCACTGACATCTCACTTGCTACCTGAGACACCCTAAACCAGAACTGCCAAGCTGAGCAGTCCTCAAATTCCTAACCCACAGAAACCATGAAATAAAAGTCATCGTCACTGATGTTTTAAGTCACTAGTTTTTGGAATGACTTCTGACTCTGCAGTAGGTAACTAACATGCACTTGATCAATGATTCAGCAAATCGAGCAATGACTATTTCAACATAAATTATCTCTAGAATTGGTCAGACTTCAACCTCACTGAGTAGGGCTATCCAACCCTGTTCTTCGTCTTATGTTGCTTAGTCCACACTTTCCAGTATCATATTTTCAATTATGTATAGATCTCAACTTGACACCACCTCTGCTTAAAACCATTGTTTTTATCAGAGGCACCGACAATCTTGCAGTAGAAGTGAGGGGCTGTGCAATTAGTTTTAATTTCACGCCTGTGTATTTTCTATCAATACAGTCCTTTTTTACTCCAAATGCTATGCCATATGAGTCTTCTTTCTATTTCCCACGAAATCTCCTTAGTCTAATTTAAGAGCAAGCGTTGGGAGTGTGGCACATCTGGATATGACCTAGACTGACTTGCCAGCTGCTTGCGTGAGTAGGTTTCTTCGCCTCTTAAGTCTCCGTTTCCCCTTCTGCTAAATGAAGTTAATAATACCTACTTCATGGTGGCTATTAAGACTCATGAGTGATGTACACACATGTGTGAGTATGTCGCTTGGCACAGTTCTGGGCACATGACAGATATTTTAAATCCTAACAACAATCCTAAAATGTGGACTATGTATCTCCATTTTACAGAGGCACAAAAAAGGTTCAGAGACGCTGAGTGTGTTGATCAACACCACAGCTAGAATGTGCCAGGGCTGCAGCACTCAAATCCTGAATGTTGCCTGTTGCTTCCCACTGCCCCCTCCGTCGCGCGTCGCTGCCACAGCTTCCTACTGCTTTTCTTGCCTGCAGTCCTTGCCTTCCCTAACCTGCTCTGAGCAGGCTCACAGACCAACGTCCCCTGAGGCTGCCTGGCTCACTGCCTTGACACTGATCCTCCAGTGGCTGTGATTGTCCAAATTCAACTTTCCAGACTCCTCAGCTCCTCTTCAGTTCCAGGCATTCTCTCCTACTCTACCACTCCCCATTTTAGTCCCCACTTCCTCCTTTCTACCTTGCCCAGTCAGGCCAGTGTCCTCAGAGCTGGAGTCCCCCCTGCTCTCCCGCCCCCCACAGACCTCACCATCTTTATTCCCATCCATTGCCCCTAATTGAAGTGTCCCCATCTGTGGTGTCCCCCTGTTTTTTCCTCCACCATGCAAATCTTATCCATCAAGACCCAGCTCAGTTCCCCACGGATGCGCCTGCTTTCCTGGTTGTTGTGGGCCCAGTGATCTGATCTTTCAACGCCCGCTTCCCTGCTCAGTACTTAATCATTCTCTGAGAAATTGATTGTTGCCGCATCTTCCTAAGATCGTGGGCTTCCTGTGGCTGCGATCATAGCCTGAACTTCCTTTCCTCTCCCATGGTACCTAGCCCAAAGCTTGGAACATAGTAGATGGTAAATATTTAACTGCTTTGCTAAACATTCACCTGGTTCTATGGGTTCGGAAAGAATTAGGAATTGTTTTCTAAAATAAGCAAGGGAGAAAACCTTTTGCATCTGTCTTTCTAACAAGATTTCTTCATAGAGGAATTGTAAGAAAGGCCCTATTTACTATCACTTTGGAAACTAGGGACCCACCTAGATTGCTTCACTTAAAGCAAGCAGATGTCAGACTTGGTCGGTCTTGAAAGGACAAACTGCTTAGCAAGTTGTGTGGGGACAGAAGATCCACTGACTCTCCCTGATTATCTTTCCTTTCTCACCCTTCTTCAGACCCTGACAGCTTCTATCCTCCCCAGCCTCACACACACTTCAGCCCTAACCTATGCCCCCACCCTAGCCCACCCCGGTTTCCTTTAACATAACCCTCTTACATACGGCCTCCCCTAGGATGCCAACTCCTACAACCCCGCACCTCCTCCCAGCGCCTCCTCCCCTAAAGGACCTAATTGCAGCCCCCAGCCCCCTCCCCATCTCCTCAGCTCCCTCCCTTCTCAGGGTCCAACCTTTTCTAACCTCAGAAGCCAGCGATACCCTGCTTGTAACCTCTTATCCCAAACTCCTCTTGGCAATCTCTGGCCTCATTCTAGCGTCATCTATTGCCACCGCTACCCCTGGCTCTGTTCTCGCAAGATCTGCCCGGTCCTGTCCAGTTTCCACTCTTCCTGATTGCATTGTTTGCTGTTCCCATGGGACCTGAATCTCAGCACTGCTCTGGTTTTCATCCGGGCTGAGATCTTTTCTCAGGGGAGAAAAGGAGGAAGAGAAGATCCTCCCCATGCCCTCTGCTCAGTCCCGCATTCTTCTACAAGTTTTCTTATTGTTCTTAAGTGAAAAGAAAGGGACTCCTTTTAAAGAAAATTATTAACTAAACAGTAGTACAAGTGACACTCAGCTGTGACACAGGCAGGATAGCTGAAAGTCAAGCACAGAGCTTGCCTTGTGTCTGAATTCTGGGTCTGGGGTGCCCTGGGTCTGAATTCTGCTTCTGCCTACTGCGGTGTGATTTGGGACTAGTTAATTTACTGTCTCTGCAGCTTGGTCTCCCCCACTGGAAAATGGGGGAAACAATAGCACTTAACTCGTAGAGCTGTTAGAAGGACAAAACATGTAAGAGGCTGCCTCAATATAAGAGCCCCCGAAATGGTGGGGTTCAGTCATTTAGAAAGTCTGTCAATGAAGTAGTTCATTGTACTCACTAAAATCCAGTGTTTCAATGACTATAAGAATACAGGTAATGTTTAACTTGGTGTCTGTGTGCCCCCCAGGGTCCTATCTGTGGGGGTGCCTGCCTCTCAGCACTCTCACACATGCTGCCACGTAGATAACTCATATGTAGGGAATTTAGAATTTTTGAAAAATGCCTCCAAATGTCAAATAATTGTCATAAAGCCATTTAAAATAAGAGAACAAGAAAAAAAGTTTCCTTAACAGTACGTGACAAAGGGTGTGATCAGACTTGAGCCTGCTTCCTCTCAAGGACATTTATGCATTGTCATCCTTGAAGTCTTCTATACAGGAAGCTAGGAAAAGAAGAAAGGAGAAAGCAGCCCTTGGGGCAGCTCTTTAAGTTCTTCCTGTACCTAGACACACAGGCAAATTGACTGGTCCCGGACACGCTACCTGGGACAGCAAGTCCATGGGAGATGCTTATCTGTGGCCCAAGCAAGGTTGATCTCAGAGTAAGAGCAATTGAACTGACTTACCAATCTTGTAAAATGGCAGAGAGTAGTCTCTTTGGTAAGTGGTTTCTTTATACCATGGTTCGACAGGCTTTGAATGTCTTCGAAAACAAATATATCGAATGAGAGTTTGTTGGTCTAATTGAGGTGGATACTGACTTCTTCTCTTGGGTGGAATTGCCAAGTCTATGAGAGATCTAAATGAAAATAGAAACGGCTTGCTGAAAACCCAGTAAAAAAAAAAGCATTCTGTTTTCTCATCTGCTCAAATCCATTCTCTCAAAGTGGCCAGCAGGCTACCAAGATAGCATTGGCAAGAGAGAAATAAACCCGTGCATATTAATTTATGGTCAGTTAATTTATGACAAAGGAGCCAAGAATGTACAGTGGGGAAAGGCTAATCTCTTTAATAAATGGTGTTGGGAAAACTAAAGCACCACTGCGAAAGAATTAAACAGGAGCCCTGTCTTATACCATACACAGAAATTAACTCAAAATGGGTTAAAGACTAGAACATAAGATCTGAAACCATAAAAATCCTAGATGAAAAGATAGGGAATAGCACCTTGACATTGAATATTTTGGATTTGATGCTGAAAGCAAAGTCAACAAAAGCAAAAATAAAGAAACGGGACTACATTAAATTAAAAAGTTTCTACACAGCAAATGAAACCATCAATAAAATGAAAAGGCAGCCTATGAATGTGAGAAAAAATTGCTAATCATATATCTGATAAGTTAATTTCAAAAATACATAAAGAACTCATGTAACTCAATAGCAAACAACCAAACAACCTGTTTTAAAAAGGAGCAGAGAATCTGAATAGACATTTCTCCAAAGAAGACATACATGGTCAGCAGGCACATGAAAAGGTGCTCACATCACTCATCATCAGGGAAACACAAATCAAAACCACTGTGACATATCACCTCACACTTGTTAGAATGGCTATTATAAAAAAGACAAGAGGGGCCGGCCGAGTGGCTCAGTTGGTTAAGAGCTCGCTCAAGAGTTTGAGCTCTGAGCAACAGCGGTTCAAGTCCAGCCCGAGCTGAGCAGCTCATCGTCACTAATCATGCAAATCAAAACCACAGTGAAATATAAAAAAAAAAAAAAAAAAAAAAAAAAAAAAAAAAAAGACAAGAGGTATCAAGTGTTGGTGAGGATGTGGAGAAAAGGGGAAACTTGTGTACTGTTAACAGAATTATAAATTGGTGCAGCCACTATGGAAAACAGCATAGGTGTTCTGAAAAATATTAAAAATAGAACTACCAAAAAAAAAATAAATAAAACTACCATATGATCCAGCAAGTCCACTTCTGGGTATATATCCCAAAACAACCACAACAACAGCAAAAATCACTCCCAAAGAGCTATCTGTACCTCATGTTCACTGCAACATTATTTAAAATAGCCAAAACATGGAAGCAACCTAAGTATCCACCCATGGATGAATGGATAAACAAAATGAGCAATGGAATATTCAGCCATAAAAACAAGCAAATTTTGCCATTTGTGACAACATGGATGGACCTTGAGAGCATTATGCTAAGTGAAATAAGTCAGACAAAGGAAGACAAATACTGTATGATTGCACTTATATGTGGAATCTAAAAAAATTGAGCCCATAGAAACAGAGAACAGAATAGTGTTTGCCAAAGGTGAGATTGAGGCGTGGAGGAAATAGGTGAAGGTGGTCAAAAGGTACAAACTTCCAGTTAAGTGAGTTCTGGGAATGTAATGTACTACTTGGTGACTATAGTTAAAAATACTGTATTATGTGTTTTGAAGGTGCTAAGACAGTAGATCTTAAAGTTCTTACTACAAGAAAAAATATTGTGACAATATGAGGTGATAGACATTAGCTGAATTTATGATGGTACCTGTATCAAATCATTATGTTGTACACCATAAACTAATACAATGTTATGTGTCAATTGTATCTCAATAAAACTGGGGTGAAAAAGGGTTTCAAAAACACTACCCCATCCTATTTTGTGTAGATCTGGAAGGTTTTCCATGATTATCTCTGGGTGATGACATTATGGGTAATTTTTCTTTAAAAAATTTTTTGACTATTGATGTTTTTTAAATGTTGTAATAAACATGTGTATTTTAAAATTATGAAATAGTTGAGGTGAGCTGGTATAGATGTAAAAAATATGAAATGATTGGGTGAGATTTAGGAACATCTGAATCCAATCATTTAGTGAGTGGTAGGATGTGGTCTTGACTGAATCACCATGATTAATCATACTTAAACAAGGTGACTGAAGCTTCTTAGTCATAATGCATTATGCTTGCATACTTGGCTAAAAACTTGATTATAATGTGTGTTCTTTAAAGAGAGAGTGTGCTAGCAGAAACGGAGGGCTTCTGCCTGGAGTTCAGGAAAAGCACGAGTGAGAATCTGATGGTGCGTGCGGTTCTGGACAGGGGAGAGGTGCTGGGTGGGCAGGGGGTGCTCTGTTGTGAATAGGCAAGGAGAAGCACCAAGAATTCCCACCCACCTCTACTTGCTCTCATTTTGAGCTTAATAGGTCCTAGGTCCTGTAAAGTGGGCACCTGAAGTGGTTGGCAGGGGCCCTCCTAGTTCTGGACACCATGTTTTAAGAGTTGCTTGAATACATTTAAAGAGCAGTAAAAAGGGCGAGGAGACCAATAACCATTTTATGAGAAAGAGTGGAAGAAACACAAAGAGAGCTGAGGTCCTATGGATGTAAGCAAGGAGTGACATCAAAGAGCCGTCTTAATCCTTCTGGACACAGAAAACATCTGTGGTCACGTTACAGGGGCCTGTCTGGGTCATGGTGGGCCCATAGTTAAAAGGATTTTCTTATACTGGTATTATAGAGAGTCACTGGTTAATCTTCCTAAAATATAATTTTTTTTTTCCTTAGGACTCACCCCACTGATATAGACCAGGGGTCGGCAAACTGTGGCTCGCGAGCCACATGCGGCTCTTGGGTACGTTCCATCTCAAAAGTTGGCCGACCCCTGGAAGAGCCAATCCTGTCCCTCACAACAATTTAAAAATTATTCGACAGCCATAAATATATTTTTACATAATCACCATCATGTGAATAATATCCTTTAAAAATTTTATAAGCGAAACTATGATAGTTTTATTTTCATTTTCAATTTTACTTCAGAGCCACAGTTCGCGAGCTGCAGTTTGCTGACCCCTGGCGGCTCTTCCGTCTCAAAAGCTTGCTGACCCCTGGTTATAGATCAAGTGCTTAAGAATAAATAAGAATGTACCTTACTTTAAAAAATTAAACATACTAAGGACAGCATGACAGAATTTGGGGGAGCGATGGACTTGTTCTCTATAAATTTACTGTTGGTAAATTATATAATAAACCCTAGTCAAAACCCTCCCCCAAAACAAAACAAAACAAAAAAACATTGGCTATCTGGTGACCATCTCAGTGTCTTGTGAGTTTGGGTTCTGTGACTGTCACTGTCAGCCTAATTGCTTGTGTGCCGCTGACAGCTCTGGCTTCTGAACCAGACCCTGTGAATGCCCCTGGATCTCCTGCTGGCCTGGCAGCCTGCTCTGCCGGTGTCTTGGGTATTTCCACAGAACCAGGCTACTCTCCATTTTCAATAACAACACATCAGTGCCTGTCTGAAGACAAGACTTCCACAAGAGGGTCTCTAATACTTCAGTACTTTCAAGTTGGTGGAGTAATATATGTGGGGAAGGTAAGCCTTCTTTTTTTTTTTTTTTTTGCTTCTCTTTTCCTTCTTTTTATTCTTAACTAGAAGCTTAATAAAGTCCTTGGTTGACATTTGCACCAAGTTTTCCCCGTAAGGCTAATCTTAGGCACAAGTCTTGTCAGAGTCAAGTAGAGTCAAGGTTCTCTTTGCTTGCACCATCCTGTGGTGGGAGGACTGACATTGGGGTGCAACGCATTGGAGGTGGGGAAATTTCCAGAGTCCACAGAACATACATGGAGAGTGCCCTGTGGAGCTGGCCAGGAGCCCCTCTGGCAGCAGGGGTTTGTTGTTTGCTTTCTTTTCTATCTTGCAGCAGAGGAGGACGTAGCCCTCACAAGAGTTTAATATAAGTATATATTTGAGTTGGAACAAAGGGCCTTGAACTGGGAATCAAAAAATAGAGATATACCACTTCTCTGGGCTGCATCCTATTCATCTAATTTGATCAGAATGACCTCTAAAACTGCTTCCAGTTCGATCATCTATTAAGTTTAGACTCTGCTGCTTTACAGAAGCCATGGCCCCCTTGTCTTTGCATGAAGGGTAATTAGGAGTTGACTTTATTAAAGACAAAAAATTAAGAGAAATTTATAAAATATTCCAGATGATGAACTGAGAATAGTAGCAATCATATTTTGAGTGCTTACTCTGCTCTGGAATTTTACATCAAATGTTCTAACAGATTAACTGATACTCAGAGAAGGAATGACAATTGCCTAAGATCAAACATTTCATAAGTTACTCAAATGCTGTTTTTAACTACCATGATTTCCAGCCTCTTAAAACAAGAACATCACATCAAAGTACCTATTTTTGTTGTTGTTGTTAAAATCACATCCGGAAAAGCAGAAATCATTTAGGTCTAATTTGTAATTTTACTGTGAAGCAAGCTGAGACGTAGGAAGATTAAATTATTTGACCAAGTTGAAAGTCTAAACTCACTGAGTTTAAATTTCTTAGATAATGTAATAGAATTCTATATTTATTGCTGATTATAAAAGTAATATATGTTTGTTAGAGAAAAACTGAAAAATAGAGAAAAAGATGGAAAATAAAATACAAATACTAATAAATCTGACCACTCATAAAAATCATTGTTAACACTTTGGTGTATTTCCTTCAAAACTTTTTTTATCTATTAAATTATTGTTATTATCATTATTATTACAAAATGTGATTCCCATTTTTTAAAGTTTATCATTCTAACTTTAGAGTAATTTTTGAAAACTAAGATATAGAAGGTGCCTCACCTGGGAGATCGCTTGACACTATAATCAAAATGGACTCTTGCCAGCTGCCCAGGGAAATAGCCTTGGAGGTCCTTTCCTTGACGAGCAATGAATGTACTAGTGAAGAAAGTAAGGGATGAGGGGAAAAAAGCTATTATTATGATTAGTTTTTACAGAAGAATACCAGCTGTGGTGCAATAAAAAATATATTTGCTCTTTGTTTCCATTTCCTGGCACAGAGCCCTTAAAGCCATTGGACTTTCTTGATAAGGGTGTCTTTTTTTATCCGTTTTTCAGGATTCATAAGGAAATATTTGACGTGTCAAGTATTAGGTTCAAAATATCAGAAAAAAAAATTAGAAGATATATAACATGAGTGGGGCAAATGTTGATAATTATTGAAAAATGAGAATTAGTAAATAAGGGGTTTCTTATACTACTTTTTCTACTTTTGATATAATTACAAACTTTCACAATAAGTGTATTAAAAACCTGATAATTAAACTACATAGTAAGTATATGGGGGCTAAAAATGAAGAAGCACTGTGGTGGTCCAAGCACAAGGTGGTTATAAGTCTGGAAGAAGGACTCTCACCCTGCCTGGGAGGGGTGGGGTGGGAGCCAGGTTGGAAGCACAAACATGAGTGACCGAGATGGAGAAGGTGAGGGAACACTTTGAGCATGAAGCTGAGATAGGTGTGGAGAGCTGACACGCAGTGGTATGGGGGGACATGAGGCTAGGGACAGAGGTGCCAGGCCTGATATTTTGAAATACATCTTATTTTATAGTGAATTGCTTTTCCGTTAAATTACAGTTAGGGCATCATATTGATATTTTAAATTATGTGTAGTTGCATTCTCTTATTTACGGAATGTACTTCTAAGAGCAGTAGGGACATTATAAACGAATCTGAAAGGCTGAGTACCACTGATGTAGGTGGTAGGGAATCTCTGTAGGATTTTAAAGATGAACGATGTCATGTAGTTTTTATTTTAGAAAGATTTCTGCTCAAGGCAGTGCAGAAAACAAATTGGAGGGTGCTCTGACTAGAAGGAGAGAGACTGGTTAGGAGGTGATTATTGTCGTTTATGTGAGACGTGGTGCAGCTCTGAGCTGTGTGTTGGACATGTGATTGGAGCGGAGAGGATTGAGGTAAACAGTGGGAGGCGTCCAAGACCAGGCTTAGGCTTCAGGCATTTCCCAGGACAGGGGATATGGGAAGGTGATCACTGCTGGGAGGATGACTTTTTGGGGTTCATGATAGGTGGGGTCTTTTGGGACCTTATGCAGATTCTGAGCACTAGATGCCATGGGATTTCAAGGGTAAGAGTCTAGAAAGTAGTGCATAGTTTTGCATGAAGTAGCTCTTCAAGTGTGTGTTGGATGATGAATGCCAGTCCAACCAGCGTTTACTGAATGTATAGAACCTACCCTGCACCTTGCTAGGGCCTAGCTGAAGCAGTTCTTGTCCTCAAACTGCTCCTTACATGCTGAAATAGTGATTTGAAGTCAGGGTCGATGAGTCAAGAAGAGGGAGGGGTGTCTAGGGGTTGGGCAGGCCAATAAAATGGGGAAGAGATTCCAGGTAAGGGGAATGGCAAAAGCCAAGATTTGAACAGAGTTGGGGTCAGAGTGGAGTGTGGGGGCCTGTGGGGACCTTGCTGTCATATTAGTATGAAAGGCAAGTACTGTGAGCTGGGCGGGTCTGTCTGTCTGTGCAAACAGGACCTCAGGGAGCTCTGATTTTCAGAAAAACCACAGGCTGTCTGGGCCTGCCCAGTGGCTGGGATAATATGGCCGAGCCCCAGATAGTAAATAACCGCGGGGGATTAAGTCATTAGAAGAGAGAGGAATTGGCACGATAACAGGGAACAAATGACACTTCTGAATGCATAGGAGTGGGCGACCTAGCTTTCTTAGGCGCCCATCCAGTTTCTGAAGCATTGCCTTGGAAATGATTACCCCAGGGCCACGTTACAGTTTATGAGACTCCAACTGGAGTTCCAAAACGACCCCAATTTTTCAACGTTGCTATGCAGTTTGCAGTGGGCTGTGTCTTGACCATGCATTCTTCATGAGCATGCACACAACAAGTACCTGCTGACTACAGGCAGTCACCTGAGCTGCTGCTTAGAAACAGCCTGTAAAAGCTGTTCTGAGAATGGAGGAGCCCTCCAACAGCACCAGGTAACACGCTCTGCCATCAGTCCCTTGGGAGTGTCTCGGCAGGTGTTGGCCCAGCAGC